CTATATCAAATTCTAATTTTAGCCAGGGAAAAAAAGAATAATTAGGCTGTGATTTACTCTGGTAGTCAACTTACATTAACAATTTTTCCCCATGTTTATGTAATTCTGGCAAAATCAAATAATATATACAGTGCTCATAAATGCTGGGCTAGATTTAGTAAAGACAATTTCCTACACTACATTCAGGACATTTCTCTTTGCTTTCTCTTCTAATGAGACATTAGAGTTGTTCTCTGTGAGGAGGGGATATGATTGTTATGCGTGGCCTCCTCGGTTGGAATTTTAGTGCAGTCTTCAATGAGGGTCATGGAAGGATTAGTTTTTTAATTTTTTTTAAGCTGTCATCCTCCTGTAACAAGCTGTATAGCTTGCCTGCTCTCTGGGAGTGATCCACCCCACATCCTAACCCTTCTTCCCAGGGAGAAAGTGTAAATCCTGCAAACTCTCAGTGCCAGAAGCCATCATGCAGTGTTGGCTCTGCAGTGGATGCACAGCTCCCAGCTCAGCATGAGTGAATTTGGGATTGGATCTCTAGCCACAGCTGGAACAAATGGGGAAGGATGTTTAAGATCCCTAAAGTTATACTCCTAAAGTTGTGTTCCTGCTTTTAAAACAAGTATCTTTTCCAGCTCCTCTAGAATTGGACTGCTGTCTACATTAAGTGAATAATTACAGTTCTGGGAGCCAAACCAGTTACCAAGGTATGAAACTGTCAGCCTCCAGGCACTGAGAACAGAAGAATGAGTAATGGAGGACAACAAAGGAAGAACAACAGGAGAACCAAAGGAAGTAGAACTGGTAGACGTTAACAGAGGCAGAAGGTGTTCAAAGTCATGTGGATTCCAGAACTAGAAGCCAAAGGCAAATTCAAATTTACCTGAGTCAGTTTGCTCAGACAGCACTGCCCCAGCACTGCCCTTTGCCCAAGAACCTATCCTGGTACTTATGAAACAAGTCTGTCCTGTGATTCCCTCAGGGAGCATCATTAACACACAGAGCACTCAAGCTTTCAATTAAAAAGCATCATTGCTGAAAGCATTATCCCAAATCTCTAAAAGACTCCATCCCAACTGGGCTCTGCTACGTTATAAATTTACAATGAGAAGGAACTTCCCTGACTTTTCCCATCATTATTTATGAATAGGTAAACCAAATGGAAGAGTAATCCCAGTGTTACAAAGTAGAGTCACTCATGCTTTGCTCCCAGTGGCACCATGGCAGAGCAGCTGCTCCAGTTCTCTTGGGGTGGCCCAACAGTGCCTTATCACACAGACCCTTCTGCTCTGTCAGCAAGGGTACACAACACTTCTTATAAGCAAAAATGATTGGTTTAATATTTTCTCACTAGTTTTAGCCACAGAGCAGTTTCTTTCTAGGTCTGCCTAAACCTTGTCTAACCTTTAAGACTATTCTTTCCCATGTGACCCATGAGAGTTGCACAAAATGAGAAATATATCCAAACAGTAGCTGCAGAAAATACACAGAAATAACTCGTTTTCACTGAGATGGGTTCATTTGTGAGCTCTGACTTTCCCCTGAACTTCCTCCCCTGAAGGACTGGAACAGTAATACCAGTACAATAATACTTTTTCTCCTGAAGTGGAGTAAATCAGTTCCTCACTCTCAGTAGTGAAGTGAAAATTAAGATGAAAAAGAGTATAGAATGCAGAAAACCCCTATTACCCAGAATAATACAATTTGCTGCTGATCCTCAGTTGCTAAGATAGGCACGTCAATTATTTATAGAACTCAGAGTGTGAAATATGAAGTATTTCAGCCTGGGACACCACAAAGGTAAAACCAGGAACACAATCCTGTCAGCACTGGCAGACAAGGACAGAATAGGCAAGCACAGAATATTTCTACACAGATTACCCTTTTTATTGAACTACAAATTGCAAAAGGTCTTTATGAAGTGCCACTTTCAGTGTTAAGTGAGCTGCATCCTCCTTTTGACAGTGTCAGTCTGTATTTAATGTTTATTTAACATTTATCTAAAGGGCCATCTCTGCCAGGGAAACAATGTTACAGTAAGTTAACATAATTTCACCTGAATATTTACAGGAAGCCCAGGATCTTCTCCTGGATATGTGCTTATGTCCGTCAACAGCCTATCACACAGTCTAAAACAGTCTAAAACCTGCTCCACATGACCAAACTTTGCCAATAATTTTCACAATCAAAATTCCAATTTATGTTCTCAGTAGTGATACCAAAATTTATCTGCACAAAAGCGCTTGTATGGTTTATAGCAAGTTTGTTGAGAGAAAGTATCTGGATTAAAACTCCCAGGGTTGCAGTGAAAGGTTGTTCACAGTTCATCTGAGGAACTAACAGGTTACTTTTCAAAAACATCCACAATTTCTTGGGGAAAAATCCAAAGCAAACTAAATAAAACCCCACAGACAAAATCAGAAAACCTTGGAGCCCCAACTTCCAGTAGCAGCCAGCTAAAATGCTTTGGTGGGACCATGCGTTACTGTATCTCAAATTAAGTATTTCAAAGCTGGAGGATTTCTAAGTGCATCTCCTCCTCCTGCCTTGCCTCCAACTCTGAGGGCAAAAGCTTCAAATACAGTGACTAAGAAATTACAGCAAAGGACTAGCACTGAACTTTCAGATCAAAGGATACAGAGTGATTCAGCCTCCTTTCCTGACTGCTTGCGAGACGTGGGCTAAACACCAACAGTCAGGTGTTCTGAAAAGCTCCACCTCAGTAAGAGAACTTGCATCAGCAGTGAGGCTACAGGACCCCAAACAATGTGACTCTCCCTTAGACAGGCTCCCTCACTCAAGAGCTCTGTCTGTCAGCCCATGTCACCAGAGGGGTGACACACCACCTTCCACAGCTGCCAGCACTCACCGATGCCAGCGCTCGCAGGACAAGCAGCAGACCAGAACAGGTATTGCCCATTGCTGTCCTGCAACTGAAAACCTGAATGCTGACACAACTGAGGGAAAAACCAAAAAACCACAAGCTAGCCCAGCAGGCTACTGTCTGTCCCCAGGGTCACATGTGCTGGAAGAAAGCAGAAGCAGCGAGGACTTGGCAGTGCCTGAAGCACAACGCCTGCAGAAGTGATTATGCTGATGCCAAATCTGGTCCTTTCGGAGCTTTCCAGCCACTGCTGAGCGGACAGCACGTGTTGCAATGCTGGAGCTGGCAACGGCAGTGCTGAGCACAGCTAGTGGCCACTGGCCACCTTAAAGCACCAGAACCATGCGACTGCCCTGAGCCCATGTTTAGCAGCATAAGCAGTAAAATAATACATCTATCGAGTTCTCAAAACTGCAGTAAATGTTGAAAAGCCTCCCTGTTCCACATTTCACCTGGCCTTGTGGGTGCTGTTGCTACCACTGCTCTGTGCTGGCTGGGCGCCAGGGCCTCAGCCAGGGACCAGAAGGAATAAGGAATGGCTACCTGACCTGGCTCTGGGGAACCAGCACTCCTGTGGGGACACAGGCCCTGCCAGCACTGGCTGTTCTCCAGTTCTACAGACTCAAAGCTCTCCAGACTGATGGTGAAGAATTTTGAAACCCAAAGAGCATACCAGATTCCCATACAAGTTTATGAAAATAACTGAAAAATACAAAAGCCTTCACATACACATATGCAGAAAAACAACTAACAGAACTATCAGATCTCCCAAAATATGGATTTACAACAACAGAAACTTGCTAATTACTATTTTAAGTATCCTTAAATTCTCATCTCTGGTGCTATCAAGCTAAAAATTATATTATCATGGATTTGAACTGTAGGACAGCCTTTACAAGTTAGGACCACTCCAAAAATGTCAATCAGTGTTTCAGAGTGTATTTAGCAGATATTTTGAACACATTTGCATTGCCATGACACACTCTTGTAATATCAAGCTGGAAGGCTCCAAGCAGACCAAGAGCTCTGGTTGGCCAAATGGCACGAACACCTGAACTACAGGGAAGACCCTCCCTGATGGCTTTTTTGAAAACAACACTTCCAGCAAAACTACTTTTTATATATATCAGCCCATTACACAGTACTGACAAGATCCTCTGTTTGCCCCAGAAACACCCTATGTCCCACACAGCTGCTGCTGGAGAGAGACAAGAGGCAGGGGCAACAGGCAGATCATCACTGCAAACCTGGAACTCTTGCAAGGAGAACATTTGCTTTTGCCTTTGGGGGATTTAAGTCAGCCTGCATGAAACAAGCATGAAAATATCCCAAGGAGAACTACATGACTAATTAAGAATTTCTTGCTCCTCATCAGCTTCAGCCACTTCTGCTGCCACTGGACGAGCATAACAAGGCCTTTCTACTGCATGGTGCTCTTCAGATATGACTAAAGCTGCCTCTTACCTCCCCAAGTTCCCAGGTAGACTATCATGCCTCCATTACAGAGAGAATTTCGCAGAATGAAAGAGCCAATAAGAAATGTTTCCTCCAGGCATCTCAACAGCATTATCACAAAACACAGTAAAAGGCATCAGAGCAGCAGAGAGCGATTCAGCCCTGTTGGAGGCACCTGTTTGCAGAACACTCCCAACACTGCAGCCGTGTGCACCTGCCCAGGGGCATGGCCACAGCAGGAACTGGCCATGGCTGACTGACCGACCCTCTGGAGCACAACACTGCCTGCAAATGGACTGCTGCAGTGCAGCTCTCACTTCTGTTTTTGCCCTCAGCACAACCATGGCAGCAGAGGCGTGGAGTAACTGCTGGGCTGGCGGGGCAGGGAGAACTGCTGCACCTGCCAACACACACATGCAAGGACAGGGCGGAAAGGACGAGTCGCATGGGTTTTAGGTACAGAATGATAAACTTTGGGGAAAACCCGAGCAAAGAGAGAGCAGGTCAGGAGTGAGAGGCGGCACTGGGACTTCATGCAAAACGGAGGAGGAGGGAATTCAGAACACTAAGCTCTGGTTTGAGGGGGTGTGCCGTTTGCCTCGTGAGGAAAGGTACCCCACAAAGTCCCACAGGCTCTGAAATGCACTCAATTAGCTGTTCCTTTTACCTTTTTGTTCTACCCAGCATTTCTTCAAGAGCACTGTCATCTCTGGCTTTGGCATCCTACTCATCATCTATGAATTCATGTTGCCGTTTCCTCCCTGAAATGAAAAATCCCATAGTCAGTCATTTGCTACACAGAGGAAAGGACAAATCTGACAGTATTTTTTTGCCACTGTTAAAGTTCAAAGACCACCCTGCTCCTTGAGTAGACAACACTGCAAGTTGTGCTCCTGGCTATGGTGTCATTCAGCCATGATCACTCAGTGTGTGCTCACTCCAGAAACTTACCCCGAATTTACCTGTAAGCAGCTGAAAAGCTGTCAGTGCCTCAGCCCTGTCTGGAGAGAAGGAGCAGGGCAATGACTCGCTCAGACTAAAAAAATTCCCAACAACAACAAGAGAGACTTGTGCCAGGCAAATATCTTTATTTTACTTTAAAACATTCTGAAAGTATTCATCTATATGAAAGAGAAGCAAAACAAGACTGGAAAAGCATGTTTAATGTTAGGGAAACCTTCACATCACATGAGCCAAATTAAAAATAAGACTAAACACAAGTGTACAAAGCAGAGACAAAAAAAATCAATTTTCTCAAAGACATAACATAAGGGACTCCCACAGGGGCCGGCAAATTCTGGAAGGGAGAAAGAGATTATATTTTATGGGAAGAGATTCAATAAGCATTCTTTTCCCATAAAGCTAGTGATGGAGGATTGTCACTGCTCCATAGATACCCCATGCACATTTCAGGACAACAGTAACAGGAAATCAATAGCACCTTTTATATGTGCAAAGACATTATCTCTCTGGACTCCTAATACTAACAAATGGGGCCAAGAAAGACCTTTACTAGAATTTAGCAGTCAGCATTACTCTGGCTGAGAAAAGAAAGCAGGATGCTGGTCTACACCCTTAGATTTTTAGATTTTTTTTTTAAAAAACTAACTGCTCAGAGCATCACCCTCAAGTGGTGCCCAGGAGCCCCCAATGACAGTACATCACAATTGTAACAGTGCTAAGCCCTGGCACTGTCACCCCATCGCAGACATCCCCTCCAGCTGATGCTGTAGTCATTACAGGCAGGAGCTTTGTCAGGGGTAATTTGACAGCTTTGACAAGCTTGGCTGAATTTATGGCACTTTCTAGTTTTTCCCTCCATTGAGCTGTGATGGAACTAAAGTTAATATTACCAAAACCACTCCGCGAGGGGACAGGTTCCCAGCACTGACTCTGATCCCAGTCACTGAGAGAATCTGCTACACTGGGCCCTTCAGTATCCCCTGCCACCCTCAGGGATAGGGAGGGCAGCTCCATCCAGCCCACTTGCAAGAGGAGATTCCATGATGAAGATCTCTGGTATCTCTGGCTCCACCACAGTAGGGGTGAATCACCACTAGTAAGGCTACTCACAGCTTACTAGAGAGCACTGAAGCAGTAGCCACGGTGTCACAGGTTTGACAACACATGCCCAGCTAAACCCAGCACCTGAGTCCTTGGGACTGCTCTCTTGCTGCAGGGACTGTGTCCCACACAGCACCACAAAGCCTCCATGTGCAAATATCAACGTGGGAAGAGAAATATTGCACCCTAAGACAAACCTTGGCAAGTCAGTAAAGCACAAACAAGTACTTTTCCTTTTTTTCTTCCTTTTCCTCTTTCCCATCAGATTGCTTTTTGCCATAGATGTTACATTTCCTCTATTATAATGCAGGGTTTTTAAAGAGCTCTCTCTACATCCTTAGAAAGCATAGCTCATATTTAGCTCCCTAAACTCGTATTTCTCTCTTCCTATATTTCCCTGCCAAGATGTGACACCTGTGGAACGTTCCCAGAAAATTCCCCTGAATCATCTGTGATGCAAGGGAACAGCAGCCAGCGTTGGCAACAAGCAGCTGGGTCTTTTAGGAAAGCGTTAGATCAATCTGGTGAGGGGAAGGATCCCCAGTAATTCTGGCACTAACATCCCCAAGGACCGCAGAGCTCCCAAATCAGTTAGAAAAAGAGCATAATTACGACAGGACCAAAATCCATGGGAAATAGTGTTGCCATGGCAACTGACATTCTCACAACGAGAATCTCCTTTGCATTCTTGCACAGACTCAATGACTCCTAAACCACGTGGAAAAAAAAATATCCGTCTAGCAGGTGGGTTCATTAAGGAAAAGCAGTGCTAGAGGTGCTTCCCTGCAGAACAGACCCACTTCCATATGCTTTCTCAGAAAGGGAGCCTTTGTGCACCTCTTGTTCCAAGCACTGCATCTCACTCACCAGGAGTGCAGAGGAACTGCTGTAACACAATCAATACTTCCTTGTTAGCTACCCTTGTATCAGGAAAAAAAACGTATTAAATATTAAAACATTCTTGTTTTCAAATAAAAGTTAAAAGAAGATAAAATCCAAAGCAGGCTAGCTGAGTTTTGAAATGGGAATGTGGTTCCAGCTTCACGCTGGGCTGCTCTGGTGTTAATGAGTGTTTTTTCAAACATTCCTCTTTACAGACAGCAGTACTCAAAAACCACTCCAGCATCCCCACACACACATATCAGATCCAGCCACTGGGCAACATCCATACGTGAGCAGGAAAGGCCTTATTTTTCTTCCTGACAGCCTTATCGTAGCATTAATACCCAGTCTATCCACCAGCACACTTCAAGCGAGGTTCAAGTTAACGGACCGGCTGGGCAGCCCTTTTGCTAAAAGCTCTGAGCTCTACACGCTTTGGGGGCATTTCCCTTCCATTTCAGTACTGCTCGGGTCTGGGGAGTTAACCCACCATCAGGAAGGGCAACACAGAGCGAACCCCAGGGCCGTGTTCTCTATGCCAAATGCCAAAGCAGCGCTATTGATCCAAGGGAAAGTGTTCCAGATCTACCGGTGACAAACGGGCACACGCTCTGCCCACGGTGTGCCCCTGCCAGCCGTGCTGTGCCCGACGCTCTGACATCGCTGAGCTCAGCTGTGCTCGCCTTCGGGTGCCGTGCAGGCAGATCTGCCCCGGGACCCTCCTCTGTACCGGGCTGCCAGACTTCCCCGCTGCCCTCCGCCAGCCCCGCCGGAGCCCGGAGCTGCTCACGGAATAGCGACTCGATGGTGACAGCACGGTTTGGAAATCGCCCTCTTGTTACGGGAGAGAGAGGCCTCGTGGCACCGTCTGCACCTACAGGTCCCGTCAATGACCGGAGTCAGCGACTGCCCTTTAGGCAGGTACCGAGGGCCCTGCGGCACCGAGACGGGCACCGGGAGAGGAAAGGGAGACGGGCACCGGGAGAGGATCCGGGGACGGGCACCGGGAGAGGATCCGGGGACGGGCACCAGGAGAGGATCCGGGGACGGGCACCAGGAGAGGATCCGGGGACGGGCACCGGCGGTCGCCCCCCCTCCCGCTATTCCCCGGGAGCGAGGTGGACGGAGGCCCTGAGCACCCATGGCACTGCCACAGCCGCCGCTGGGGTAAGGAGCAACCGCGCCGGCAAAGACGCGTCAGAATGCCGGGGCGAAGAACGAGGGAA